GCAAGCACACAGGAGTGCCCAGGGGCAGACTGACCATCCGAGAACTCGGGCACTGCCCGAGGGCTCGGGGTCAGTAGGGGGCCCCATGAAATGACCCTGGTACCTTTTATAGGCTTTTTTTGAGTGTGGGCAAGGACACAGGGGCCCCATGATCCCCTATTGCCTGGGGGCCCCATGAGTTGTCAGTCCGCCCCTGGGAGTGCCCCTACAGCAAACCGCTTGCTCTGGGGGCACTCGGTGGGGAGGAGCCAGGAGCACCAGCGGAGAACCCGAGAAGAGAAGGATCAGGGCTGTTTTGTGCAAAACCAATTGCACACAGCAGGAAAGTGTAACATAATTTAAAAAAAATAATAAAAACAGAACCTTTACAATTTTACACTTTAAGGTAAAAAAAACTTCTATTGTCAGCATGGTGAATGAGATGAAGCTTTGCTGATCTGCATCATCCAATCCTGTGCAAGCGACAATACTGTTTATTTTCCTCCAGTTTTCGACCAGTACACTATGCGCAGTATCCAAAAAATTCTGGAATTCAAATGCAGTTCCGGTAAAATGCAGAAGACAATACATCTGTATTAAATGTTTTTAGTTGCTTTTACGTTAGCTAAGTTGTAATGTAGGATTGCTATCTTTTCTTGTTCATGCAATAGCTGCGAATGGCAGTATATACAGTGCCTTGAAAAAGTATTCATACCCATTGACATTTTCCACATTTTTTCATGTTACAACCAAAACCGTAAATGTATTTTATTGGGATTTTTATGTGATAGACCAACACAAAGTGGCACATAATTGTGAAGTGGAAGGATGATAAATGATAAAAAAATGTTTACAAATCAATATCTGAAAAGTGTGATATGCTTTTGTATTCATTTGTTCACTAATGTTTTCTAACAAACCTCTGAGGGTTTCACAGAACAGCTGTATTTATACTGAGGTTAAATTACACACAGGTGGACTCTATTTACTAATTAGGTGACTTCTGATGGCAATTGGGTCCACTAGATTTTAGTTAGGGGTATCAGAGTAAAGGAGGCTGAATACAAATGCACATTACACTTTTCATATATTTATTTGTAAACATTTTTGAAAAGCATTTATCATTTTCCTTCCACTTCACAATTATGTGCCACTTCTTGTTGGTCTATCACATAAAATCCCAATAAAATACATTTAAGTTTTTGGTTGTAACATGACAAAATGTGGAAAATGTCAAGGGGTAGGAATACTTTTTGAAGGCACTGTATGTGAACAGTGATAGATGTGGTTAACTCAGATGGAGACTGTTAATAGAAGACACCAGGTTAGATGTGCAGTGTGCTGTCCCTGCATGCCCTCATCTTGTTCTTTTTTTATGCAAAGTAAGCTAAATGTTATCATTTTTCCACCTGTGCCAAATATTAATCACAAGGGCTGGGGAACAGGATAACAATAAGGCAAGGCAGCAATTTTACTAGTGGGTGTAAGGTGAATTCAAGATCAAGGAATCAGATTGGGTCAGCTCTTTAGCCTTGGTTCACATATATGCGGTGCGGTATATTGCATGTGATTCGCACAGGAACCGCACCGCATTCCTGTGCAAATCACATACAATTTGTTTGGTGCAATCAGAGCCATACATTTTGTATGGCTCTAATCGCACCGCTCCCGCACCAAAAGGGTGCAGGACCCTTTTTTGGGTCCACATTAGAATCGGATCGCATGGGTATTCACACCTATGCGATCCGATTCTGCACATCGTACCACATTTTGCGGGCCGCTTTGCTAACTTAACATACACACCCGCAGCGGTTCACATGAACAGGGTGCGATTCTGATGTGGTGCAGAATCCGCACAGAAAATGCTGCGAATTCCACACTGAATCAGTGTGAACCAGGGCTTAAAGTGGATATAGGATCTCTTTTTGAACATGGACCGTAGTAGCAATAATATGTAGCATTCTTGATGGGTTTTTTTAAAGCTAAAAACTGAAATTTAGAATTAAAATGCATATTTAAAAAAAATCATTATATTAATATACAGTATGTATATACAGTAGATAAGGGTATTGATTAAATGGTTAGCACATCCGCCTGGCAGTACTAGAGTCGTTGGTTCAAATCCCAACCACGGTACCACCTGCCTGGAGTTTGCATGTTCTCCCTGTGCCTATGTGGGTTTCCTCTGGATACTCCAGTTTCTTCCCACACTCCAAAGACATGCTGGTAGGTTAATTAGCTCCTGTCTAAATTGTCCCTAGTATGTGAATGTGTGAATGTATGAATGTAAGTTAGGGACCTTAGATTGTACACCCCTTGAGGGTTAGGGACTGATGTGAATATACAATATATACATATGTAAAGTGCTGTGTAAATTGATGGTGCCATATAAGTACCTGTAATAAATAATAATAATTGTTTTGAAGCGGTATTAAATCCAAAAGCAAACATTTATTCTGGTGCAGCTTACCAATTCTTAGATGTGATGGCTGCATTAGTTTCCTTTTTAAGGCTTTCTTTCTTTTATTTTCATCTGGTGATTCACCCAGTAGACAAGTAGATCAGTAAAGGGGTAAATCATAAAACAATAAAGAAAAAAAAGGAAGGGGGGAGGGGGGGGGGTGATGAAAAATATCACAATACTCCTCCAAGGAGAAAACCAACTACAGTGTTCAATTAGACATAGAGATATACAATACCCAAGCTCAACTGCTCACACAGCTTCTCGTGGCTGTAAACCGGTGCTCAGGCTGAAGTGTCCCCTCACTCAGTCCAAGGAATCCAAAATACAATTGAGCCGCCACTCGATATAACCCATAAAATGAAGATATTTTATTGGCTGCAGCTCGTGACGTCATCATGCAATCCAAAATTAGGAAGTGGTCCAATTTGACTCCCTGGACTTAGTTGTTTCTATAAGCACTTATAACCTTTGTAAGTAGTTTGTATGACCTTTTAATCACCTATACAGGCATACCTCGGTTTAGGAATGCATTGAAAACCAATTAATCCATTCCAGAGGTTAGAACAAAGTAAAAAAAAAAGTCTTTTATCTGTTCAAAACTCTTTATAAAGTGCACTTTAAAGGCATAAATACTGTACAGGGACATGATAAAAAAAAAATTTGAAAATGCATTGAAAACCAATTAATTTGTTCGTATTGCGAAAGAAATTTGTAAACCAGACATTATTTTCAATGGATTTTCATTCGTAAACCGAAAGTTACGTTAACCGAGGCGTTCGTAAACCAAGGTACGCCTGTACAGTGTTGCGCTATGTGACTCTTCCGGCATTTTTTTTCCATGTTGGTTACTGGGTATCATTCATTTGTTGATAGGGCACCTAGAGTAGGGACCCTTAAAATGTAGATACCTTTTCTAAATCTTCCTGTGGTTAAAGAGTCCACTAACTCTGGTAAGAGTTTTCCTTGTACACAGAGGTGGTGGTGCACTCAAAGATGTTCTGGTGTTTACAATATCAGCTGATTGGATAGATCAAGATTTTCATCACTGACTCACTTTTTACTCTAGGATAATTCACATCACTGCTATTCCTTTTTGGGACAGTTTGTTTTTATTATGTATGCATTAACACTGGATTTATTTTTATGTATTGCCATTTATAATATTTAACTCATGTTTTCATTCTAGCACAGCACTTTAGGTTTATCTTTTATCTATACACAATTTATATAAATTGTTGTGTCAGCTGTTGTTATGCTTCTCAGCATGATCTCATGTTTATATAAACATATTGGTAGTAATCTAACATGTTTCGACTTTAACAGCCTTCCTCATAGCATGTGCTATGGGAAATGCCATTACAGCCGAAACGAGTTAGCTATTACCAATGTGTTTTAAATGTAGGCAAATAAGTATCTTCATTATACTGCTTATACTGAATGCCAGCTTAGTTGTACAGTGGCCAATTAACTTTTAGTTAGTTAAAAGTGTACAGTCAGAGTCTGCCGGCATGTCCAAGATTCCCATATTTTTAGGTGTCTTTAACTCTTTTAATATTTAAACCTTCAAAGTATAAACTAATGGCAACACTTTTTTGGTTATGAATATGGTGGAGATGGATTTGAACACCTATTAGGCTTGTATTGCTGTCTGTGCTCCCATTAGGGAAATACATCCCCTCTATTTGTCCTGTTTACTGTTATCATTGAAAGTGAAAGTAAAAAGAAAAATCACAAAGTTTGGGTTGTCCCCAGAAAAGTAATCGGGGAAAAAATTCCAATAAGGACACTAGTTCTGGTGACTTAGGGGGCCCCAGGGGATTCCCTAATTTGCAGGGATTTTCTCTTACTCCCTGTTTTGGCTATGAGACAGGAAGTGAAGGGAAATCTCCCCATTGGGACACAGATGGCATAACAAACTAACAGGGGTTATAACCCTACCTTACTCTATCCAAAATGAAAAACAAAAAACAGTTTAGCCTATAGTTCTAGTTTAAAAATCAAACAATAAGGTAACAATGCAGTAAAAAAAGATAAGTAAAAATTACTTGAATTGATACAGGGCAAAACAAAATGAAGTAAAAAAATGTAAAAAGTCCAAGTCATGTAAACTAATCATGTTGGTGGAACAGTTTTCCCAAATATTGAACACAGTGACTGTATAGAAAGCATTAGATGAGGCAATGGAACAGAGATGAGACAGATGTAGTGCGCACATGATGACAGAGGTACAAGGTGACTAGGAGACCAGGAGCAGTAGGGAGAGAAAGTAGTATCGGAATCCAGGGTGATTCACACATCTCTCCACCCTATAACTGCTGGTTAGCATGTTTTGGGATAGACATTAATACCAGAGCCATAAACAGACGCACCCATGGGTGTCAGCTCCCTGTGAGCCTCTCACACCCTAGTGAGGCATGCGTTGTCAGGCTCATCCTAATTCACAAGCCAAACCAAGAGCTGCCTATCTCCTCCCCCTCTCACCCAGTCATATAAAGGCAATCATTTGGTGATTCACAGATGCTGTTCTGACAAAACAAGTGACCCTCCAGCAGCCAGGATGAGCATGTTTGGTCCTTCGAAGATCCTCCTGTGCTGGGCAGCTCTGCTAAGTGTCTGCAGTAAGTATCTGAACCAATGGAATAGGTACCTACAGTATGTAAGATGAGGTGAGATAACTGTAAGATAACTGACCTGAAAGAGATGCTAAAGGACTAAGTTACCCAACCAGTTCAAAAGATTTTTGATAACATGCAACAGCAAAATCAATAAATTATGTAGAATATACCTTTGTAATGATGCAACTATATATAAATATTATAAGAGTATTGTAGTCATAATTTTAGAATTATATTTATTATTATTTAGAATATTATTATGTATGTACTTTATAACAGAAAATCATACTTATAATATCAATGATATCCTTTTGTAATGGTCATATTATATTGCTATATATTGTTTTGCAATATATAAAGAATTACGATATATCTATAATCCTCTAATTATTTTTTCTATTGGTAGTAGTGGTAGTATGTACTATAATAATAATAAAATTAGAAATAATAATAGTAACATTTTGGCATTAGTAGTGTAGTGTACAGTGTACACTGCATATTATCAATTATTACTACTACTACTATTGCAATCACTACTATTATTAATAATAATAATAATAATAATAATAATGGTAGTGATTGCAGTAATAATAATAGTAATAGTAATAATTGTTAATATGCAGTGTACACTACACTACTAATGCCAAAATGTTACTATTATTATTTCTAATATTATTATTATTATAGTACATACTACCACTACTACCAATAGAAAAAATAATTAGAGGATTATAGATATATTGTAAATCTTTATATATTGCAAAACAATATATTGCAATATAATATGAAGATTTACAATATATCTATAATCCTCTAATTATTATTTCTATTTGTAGTAGTGGTAGTATGTACTATAATAATAATAATATAGAAAAAATAATAGTAACATTTTGGCATTTGTAGTTGTAGTGTACACTGCATATTAACAATTATTACTATTACTGCAATCACTACTATTATTATTATTATTATTATTATTATTATTATTATTATTTAATTAGTAGTAGTGATTGCAATAGTAGTAGTAGTAGTAATTATTAATATGCAGTGTACACTACAACTACTAATGCCAAAATGTTACCATTTATTATTTCTAATATTATGATTATTATTATTATAGTACATACTACCACTACTACCAATAGAAATAATAATTAGAGGATTATAGATATATTGTAAATCTTTATATATTGCAAAACAATATATTGCAATATAATATGAACATATAGCTGCACCATTACAAAAGGATATCATTGATATTATTATAAGTATAATTTTTTTAATATAAAGTACATAATATTCTAAATAATAATAATAATTGGTATGACAAATAATAATAAAAACAATAGTAATATTAATATTGGTAGTAGTAGTAGTAAGGTTAGTGTTCGCAGTGATATTGCAGTACAAAATTGTATATTGTTGTTAGATGTCTGCATTCAACATCTGTATATACACCCTCATGTCAAAAATGTTGTTTTGGGGCATTTTTACTTTTTGTCTTTGTGCAATTTAGTAATAATAATAATAATATCACTATCATCATAATCAGAATACATTTATTATACAACTTTATTTTTTCCTACTGTACTAATATAGCTGTTTTCAATGCAAAGCACAACTGCACATTCTTTTGTTAAGTAACTAATTGATAGAGCTTACATTTTTGTTATTTAATTGTTATCCTTCCTATTTTTTGGGTGCTGGCAAAAAAAACGCATTCTACTAAATTAATTTTATAGAAATCATGCCAAGAATCTATAATACCACATAACCCAATCATCCACCACAGTGTATTTGTTTTAAAATTAGTATGCAGTCATTAAATAAGTATAAATATTTATATTAGTATGATTAATTGGTACAGTATATATATACCTGATTGTTAGTGATTTCTTTGAACATGCCAAATGAAAAATCACTTCCAACTACCTTTCGAAGGTGACCAACCTATATTAACCTACCACCAACAGCTTAGTCTATTTAATGGCTCTAGTAGAAACAATTGGCAATGGATACATTTTTCTATTGAAATTTGTATAAAAGGGGCTGGTATTACCAGAATATCGCTGTACCTCCTGTCTGTATAAAGCTTCTTGCACACAGATATAATAAATTACTGATGTTTTATACTCAAGAGCTTTTTGACAAAAAGATCCTGATTAAAATGCTCCATAAAGATCTTATGTAAACGTGGAAAGATGCTTCAACATGTGTATGTGTATACCTATGTAAAATTCTTCTTCATCCTCTTCTAGTTGCCAATGTTGCAATATACCCGTCTACACGTGTATGTGCATAAATTACTGCACTCAAGCATAAAATGTAGATTTTTTTTCTTTTATTGCTCTGTGTTTATCGTCGTGTTAATGATCTTTAAGCAGCTTTAGGCACTGTTCTATAGATCAGTAAAAAAAAAGTGAAGTTTTTTTTAAAAGAGGACTAAGAATTACTTTATACATAACATTTAAGGCAAGCACCTTGACATTGGTATTCCAGGGACATTAGTCATGAAAATAAAAATGAAAAATGTAATTAAAAAGAAGACATTTTGATTATGAGTTATTACAATGGTGGTGTGAATTGTTAACATTTATAAAGATACAAGGATAAAAAAGCCTCTTTTACACGGAAGCCTATAAATTTCACATTTTTTTTATGCATTCAGGCTTTATTTTTCACTGATCTGAATGCAGCCCAATGTTTTTAAACACTGTAAACTTGAGCTGCATTTAGATCAGTAAAACAAAAATAGCGGTGGTCAGTAATTTTACACATGTATGCACGTATATGCGCAAATACACTCATACGCCACCTTCCCTTGATTAAAAAAAAAAGCTAGAAGAATTTTTACATGTGTATAAACATACAAGCAAATATGTGTAAATATGCACATGTGCTATACAGTCCATCCTCATGTTTTTTTGTACCAGGAATATCTGATATTCTTCCATTCGTGCCATTTGCAAGTACCCAAAAAGTATTGGCAATTTAATACCTTTTAGTGGCTAACTAAAATAATTTAAGAAGGAATCTAGTGTTCCCAAAACATGTATTTTGTAATATTTAATTAGCTACGAAAATTTATCACTTTGCTATTATTTTTTGTGCCTTTTCTGTCTGTGTATGTATTCTTGGCTAATGCAGTATATTACTTGTCTTTCTGCACACCGATGGAAAATAGCAGGCTGTTTAAAAAAAGGATTCCCCTCTTTTATCCCTTTCAAAGAAACTATATAAAAGAACACAAATTTATAGTAAACTGACACTCAGCAATAAACTTGTTAGCTAATACATAAACCACCAATTGGCCCAGCAGTTGATTTATCCTGTACTACAGACTGTAGCCTGTATGTCAGCTCTGAGAGTAGTCAATGCATACATCTCGTGTTCTCTGTCCATGGTGCTGGGTAAAGCTGAAATATTTCAAGAACAGAAGTACATACCATTTATCTTTATATAAGCAGATAAAACATACTGTCTTTCAAGATTCTCAAGTTGTAACAGAAACATTAAGGACATGCTGGGCCATGAGCTTCCTCAAGAACCCAACTGGCCCTCCTTGTCTGTATTTTTGTGGCAGAATGCACAGACAGTATTGTGACCAAGTGGTCAGCATTGTAGCCTTGCAGGTCTATGGATTTTGGTCACTATGCACATGGACTATATGTATTCTCCATGTCTGTGTGCAAAATAACTTCTGGGAGGACAGGATAAACTATATAGACAGGTTCATGTTTGGTTCTTTTCTCAGCAGACTAGTAAACTTGCATGGAAGGAGAGGAGCATTCATTGTTCAGCACTAGCAATCAAGAAGTGAAGGCTGCATCTGTTATTGGCAAAAATGTCTGTGCTCATGTACAAATAACTGCAAATAATACATCAAAATAAATGCAATGTATAGTAGTTATTTATGAAATATTGCACATTCATATTTTGTATGCTAATCAGCAGTCTTTGCTCTGGGCTTTTTGTTCATACATTTCAACAGAACTCTTCTAGCCCTCTTGAATTGTATTGTAACTGTTCTATCTCCCTTTGTTTTGTAAAGAATTGCACAAACTTTTTGGTGCTATAAATCCTTATTATTAATAATAATAAAGTAATAATAGTAGTAATAGTAAAAATAATAATAATAATAATAATATAGTAATAATAGTAGTAATAGTAAACATAATAATAATAATATAGTAATAATAGTAGTAATAGTAAACATAATAATATAGTAATAATAGTAGTAATAGTAAACATAATAATAATAATAATAATATAGTAATAATAGTAGTAATAGTAAACATAATAATAATAATATAGTAATAATAGTAGTAATAGTAAACATAATAATATTAATAATAATAATATAGTAATAATAGTAGTAATAGTAAACATAATAATAATAATATAGTAATAATAGTAGTAGTAATAATAAACTACTAATAATAATGATGATAATAATAATAATAATAATACATTTTTACAGACTATCCCTGTGCCCTTTAATGGAAAAAGTTTATTGTTTACAGATCTAAATGGCTCATGCTAATATTTGCACATTAAAGTGAAATCAAAGCAAAGATTGCTCCCTTGTTAGACGGCTGTCTTCACTGAGACAAGATCAGCCTGAAAGGATATAAGTACTGCTGTGCTATAAACACATCAGTTTAAAAACATATAAAAAAAAAACAAAAAAAATGTGCACAATAAATCTAATTTTCCTATAAATTATGAAAATCTATTGAAAAGCCAATTTACACAACAACGATATACACATGTAAAAGCTCTAGGAAACCTATACATTCTAATTCTATAGAATAACAATAGAGGCAGAATAAAGTTGTATCGTGTTAGTCATCAGCAAACATAGAAGTTTGGGTTTAAGGTGATACCATTTACAAAAATCACAATACTTGCATCTATGCGGTCAATCAAAATTGTCTAATGTCTGACTCTTCAATGTTTTTTTACAGATGGTTCTCCACATAAGTTTTGCAAGGAGCCAAACTACATGCCCTCTAGTCCTAATGGTAAGTCACACATTAAAAAAAAAGTCATGAGAGAAACATGGGCACTGGTAATGTTGACCTTTGTTTCCAAAAGTGCCATCATCTTGACCCTCTGGCTTTGATGTTGACTTTCTAACTCAAAACAAGTGTGTGTGTGTATGTATATATATATATATATATATATATATATATATATATATATACCTCCAAATTTCATGATGTCCATATTTTTTCCAAGTCAAAGATTCCAGAAGACCTGAAGCCAGAGGGTCAATATAACAGAGTGTCTAAATTGTCAACAGTGGCAACCCAAAATAAATATTCCACTCATATACAGAGCATGGTCTGCTGAGTCACCTATTGGCTTCATATACCTGTACACCATCTTCCAATTCTAGTCCCCATGTTTGTTTCAACCATCTATTAAGTTAAACTCCACCTGCTACCAAATAGGTGTACTTAGGGACATTGCTATGGTCCACCAAGACCCAGAGCTTCCTTGGACACACCTATGGTGAAAAATTGCAGAGGGCCACAGTGAACAGGTTTTACAGTGACTTTTTCTTGTTTTTCTAATTCTCAAATGTTCCCTTGCTTTGTTCTCTTCCCCTTTTTACAGTGCCCTTCTTCTCTAGTAGTACCCTAAGTAATTCTTAACACTAGTCTTCCTGTGTGTCTGGCCTTTAGTTCCAAAAAGCTTCTCACCACCTTTTTTAATCCTCAATTGCAAAGCAGCGTTATTTGCTTGAATGGGTCTTCTTCAACAGGGGTATCATTTCTGCCATGGCAGTAAAGCAGTGTATGCAGCCGTGGCCATTTGTTATTTTCAGAGGTGGGGGTGTCTATAAGGTAGGCTGTATAGACCCCTATGATTTCTAACAGCAGCCCTGTGCCCGACACTACATCATCTCTCAAAAGGAAAAATGCTGTATTTTTTGCAGGACCGACCCTTTTAATGCTATATGCCATATATATAAACAATAGTTAACTTGATGGACGCTGAAGTGTAAAGCAAAGTATGTACATATTTTGCATTACTTGGAATGTAGTCAGGACTATAGCCTTATGGACTACTTACCTAGGGGAACAATCTTCTTGCCCAAATTTTTCAGCTCTCTACAGAAAGTAGCATTGCATATCATGTGGATTATTTTGTGTTAATTACAGTAATTAAATTCTGTTTATGACCACACCTCATGCATGAGATTATCCAGCTGTGCCATCTCCCCATGGCAGACCAGAGATTTTATTGCATGTGCACAGTTTTTTTGGCATTAAAGTTGTTGGTGTTTCATCTTTTTGATTGGCAAGGGTGTGCCACCACCCAGATGACTGTAGACTCTGCCTAGAATCAGGCTGAGCAATATGACGATAAAAAAGTCAAGATATTAATCCAATTGGGATTCCACCCAAAGGTGAGGACACAGGAGAGAATTTTCAGCCAGGTCTTTGTAAATTAAAAGGGAATAACAAAAATAATAATAACATAGGGAATGGCATTATCACTATAGGTGTTGGTGGTGCAGAAAGATGTTGTTTATGAAGGCAAAAAGCAACCTGCAAAATCTGGTAATCTAGAGCATTAGAGTATTCCATTGGAAATCAACTCTTATCACTACTACTTTACAAACCAATGGAATCAGTTTAATTGGGCTTACTGCAAATCATCATTGCTCACAACCTTATTAACCACTTCAATACGGGCACTTATACCCCCCTCCTGCCCAGGCCAATTTTCAGCTTTCAGCGCTATTGGAACTTGAATGACAATTACTTCGTCATGCAACACTGTACCCATATGAAGTTTTTATAATTTTTTTCACAAAAATAGAGCTTTCTTTTGGTGGTATTTATTCACCACTGACTTTTTTATTTTTTGCTAAATAAAACAAAAACACCTGAAACTTTTGAAAAAAAAAAACGCACTTTTCTTCGATTCTGTTATAAAATTTTGTGAATAAATAACATTTCTGCTACATTTCTTGAAAATAATAATTGAATTTGTATTTTTTTTTTTCAAATGTTTCTCTTTTTTTTTATTACATTTTTTTCTTTTTTTTACCATTTTATTTTTCAGCACACTGTGACCAAAGCAATACAATGTTACCATAGTAACATTGAACTACTTTGGGCAAGTGATCAGGATTTTTTTTTTCTTTTAACACATTATGATTGCTAATACCAATGTATTTAATTGATATTTGCAATCATTGTTACTGAATGAAACTGAGTGATTCAGTCTTTTGTTGTGATTAGATGTGATTGGGCATAGCTGGTCACATGATACAGAGGCACTGTGTTGTGTACAGAGGCACTGTGTTGTGTACAGAGGCACTGTGTTGTGTACAGGGGCACTGTGTTGTTTACAGGGGCACTGTGTTGTGTACAGGGGCACGGTGATGTGTACAGGGACACGGTGATGTGTACAGGGGCACGGTGATGTGTACAGGGGCACGGTGATGTGTACAGGGGCACGGTGATGTGTACAGGGGCACGGTGATGTGTATGGCGGCACGGTGATGTGTAAAGGGGCACTGTGATGTGTATAGAGGCACTGTGATGTGCAAGGGGGCATGGTGATGTGTACAGAGGCACGGTGATGTGTACAGGGGCATGGTGATGTGTACAGGGGCACGGTGATGTGTATGGTGGCACGGTGATGTGTAAAGGGCACTGTGATATGTATAGAGGCACTGTGATGTGCAAGGGGGCACAATGGTGTAGAGGGGCACTGAGACTTGAAAGGAAACTGAGGACACTATTGGATGCTTTAAAGGGGCACTGTGATGTAAAGGGTGGTGGGACTGTGATGTGAAGGGGGTCTTTGATATAAAGGGGGACTGTCGATACTGATGTAAAGGGGGGGGGCTGGGATGTCAAGAGGGTTGTGATGTGAAGGGGGGCCGAGGACAGTGTTGTAAATAGGGTGCTGCTGATGTAAAGAAGGGTATATGATGTGAAAGGTCCAAGACACTGGTGTTAAGGGGGGGCATGATGTTTTATAACACAAACATGATAATTGGACCTCTTCCAATAGAAACCTTTACCATCTAGACCTCTGTAAATTTTAATTCAAGACCCCTGACCTATATAGTACAGTGAAACGCTTTTTTCTTGTCCCAGAGTGAGTTAGAACCCTCTGCTGGCTTTCTATTGCTGTCATTGCACTTATTAGGGAGATTTCCCTTCACTGGGATAGGAAGTGGGGAGATCTCTCTCCAACAGACCACCATTAAAAAGATGTTTAATTGTGGAATGACAAATGATAAGAAACATTATCAGGTTTTCATTACTGTTCATATCATCATTGAGAAGATCACCTTCATTCCCTGTCTTGTTGATGATTGTGGCTTGGACAGGAAGCTTATAAGTATCTCCTCAAAGGGGACACTGGCAACAGTAATTAGTTACAAAACTTTAAAAAGTACTTTTTTTCCCCATTTCAGTTTAACTTATATAATACTCCATCAAAACATCAGAATAATGTATTTATTGTTATCATCTTCCATTCACCTAGATGCCAATGCTTTGCTTCCAGTATGTGATGGGTCTCCAGGATTTATTCGGGTTTCAGGTGGATCCATTAGTAAGTACCTATCGTAGTCTACAGTTATTGTTTTGTCTTCAGGAACAAAAGTGATTTTTAGCCTTTTACTGTTTATTTTAAAACTCATGCTTTGCAATTCTACACAGTGACTGTGTTTTTAGCGTTCCTCCATTTATTAATTTGATGTTTTATTGATTTTACATATTTCACCAACTGAACAATATTACCAGCAGATAATACTGTATATAAGCATAACAATCCACGTTATTGAGGATAAAAACAGAAATCGACTTACATGTAAAAACAGCAGCACACAGCCTAGTGAAGGGACATGATCACCAGACGGTCATAGGTAGGCAGGTGTAGATGTAGAGGAGAACCAGGATCCACACACAGTACAGTGATGTAAACACAGCTGGGACCAGTAAATGACAAGCTGCAGGCAATGCAGTGTGCAGAGAGTGCTAGCCAGGACACAGGCACAGGGGGAGCACTGAGCGCTCTGCATGCACATAGACACAGCCTCCTGGGACAAGGACTACAAAGGTTAATGGGCAACACGTTTACAGGAAAAATAGCCTTTGTCAACATCAGTGCAGAAGTATAAAAAGACAAAAAGTTATGAGACTGCACTTGGACTCTAAGCTTAGAATTGTTAACTTAATTACACATAGGAGTTAATTACACATAGGCAAATAGGGGGGGAAATTATCAAAACTTGGACAGACAGATCCTAACTTCAGTTTGTTCAGGTAAGCTTTCAAAATGAAAGATAGAAGCTGATTGGTTGCTATGTACAGCTGCTACAGATTCTGGCTGCTCCCATCTTGATAAATTTCCCTTGTTAAATGGACTAAGTAAAGTGTGTTGCTTTTGTTGGTATTCTTACTCTTACTCTTGTATGTTGCAGGCCACTCTGGATCTATGAGTGGAGGAAGCAGCTCCCAGTCTATCTTTAGTGGTCAGCAGTCCAGCTTTCAAAGTGGCAGCATGTCAAGCGGTGGAGGTGGTGGAGGTGGCGCTTATGGACAACCTGGAGGTGGAGGCTCTAGTAGCCAGATTATGTCTGCTGGGGGAGGGGGAGGGGGGGAGGAGGAGGAGGAGGAGGAGGAGGAGGTGGCTACAGCATGTCTGGAGGAAGCTCTGGAGTTGGAGGCTCAAATGGGCAGAGCATTTTTTTCTTCTTCTGGAGGAGGAGGAGGAGGAGGAGGAGGAGGAGGAGGTCTTTTTGGCCAATCCAGCATGTCTGGTGGAGCAGGCAGTAGTTCATTTTCTGGAGGTGGAAGCTCAAGTAGCCAGAGCATATCTTCATTCCAATCAGCTGGAGGGAGCTCTCAACACAGCAATGTCATCATTGCAGGAAATGTCAACCCTCCTCAAAGACCAGGTAGTGGTGGAGTAATTGGAGGTTCCTTCGGCCAAAACAGTATGTCGGCATCTGGTGGAGGTGGAGGAATCATTTCGGGTTCATCAAGTGGAGGGGGTGGCTCATCTCTGCAAGATCAAGTCATCCTTGGAATGATAAAATTTGTCCCAGCATCGGGAGGAGCAATTGGTGGAGTAGCAAGCGGAGGTTCTTCAGGTGGAGGAGCTTTTTCAGGCTCATCAATGGGAAGTGGCAGCAACCACCATTCATCCTCAAGTGGAATGGGAAGCTCATTTCATGGGTCTTCCAGTGGATCATCAAGTTCTTTTCATGGATCTTCAAGTGGATCTTCAGTTGTAGGCACAGGTTCATTTCAAGGATCTTCAGGTTTAGGCACAGGGCAATTTGTAGGATCATCTGGTGGTGGCACGGGTCAATTTGTAGGATCATCTGGTGGCGGCACAGGTCAATTTATTGGATCATCTGGTGGCGGCACAGGTCAATTCATTGGATCATCTGGTGGCGGCACAGGTCAATTCAGTGGATCATCGGGTGCAGGCACTGGTCAATTTGTTGGATCTTCAGGTGGAGCTGGAGGTGGATTTCTTCAACAAATTAGCAGTGGAGGATCCGGCGGCGGTGGCGGTGGCGGTGGCGGTGGTGGAGGCGGTGGTGGAGGCGGCGGTGGTGTTATAGTAAATCCACCTAGACTGCCAGGTAAAGTATAACATTTATTGATTGCATTATGTTTACCATTTAATACACACATTTTATGTATTATTCAATTATGTAAAGATTAACAATGAACCAGCCCCAGTGATTAATATATCATTAGAAGTGTCAGATAATGTTTGTTCAGCTGTACTTTTCTTTTATACTTTTTTTGCAAATGAGAAATGACACCATATGCTAAAGTCAGGGTTAGGGCGTGTGTTAGTGTTAGAGGGAGGGTTAGTGTTAGAGGTTGGGGTTACAAGCAGAGTTAGTGCTAGGGTTACAGGGAGGGTGGGTTAGTGCGTAGATTGATGTAACAGAGACCATTTATGTTATTGTTTCAGGGAGGGTTAGAGTTAAAACTGAGGCTACAGGGTGAGTTTGTCTTAAAGGTGGGATTTTAGGGAGGGCTATATTGGGGTAAAAGTCAGGATTAGGGGTGGAGTTGAGCTGCTTTCATACTGATCCGTTTTTATTCTGCTTTTGCGTAAAAAAAAAAGGTGGGAGAAAAATCTGTGACCATGTACTGTAATCCTATGTAATCCTTCACACTGATCCGTTGCAGGTCTGCTGCATTTTTTTTAAACTCCTGCTTGCTGCATTTGTGGTGCAGGTTTGGTGCTGTAAACAGAACGCCCCTCTCCACTGAAATGAATGGAAAACTCAGCAAAACGCATTAAAAACGCATGTGCGTAGCGTTTTTTAGTGGGTTTTTTTGTTACATTTTTTGAGTTGTAAAAAAAATGCCTCACAAATGCGGTAAAAAATTAATTTTTGCCATGTTTTTCTACGGATCAGTGTGAAAGTAGCTTTACAAGCAAGGTTACTGTTAGGGTTACAAGAAGGGTTGGTGCTAGGACTAATACCAAAAATCAGAAAACACCTTACACAGTTAAAATGAATTTATGTGAAATATTTTACCTGCCAACAGATTGAACTTTCTGTTCCTCCGATCTTGTGATTTGCAGGACCCTGCCACGTCATATAGCCACCAATATGTTTCCACTAGTTCCTGGTTCTGTTTTACAGCTTCCTCTGTCAGCTGCCCATTATATATACATCATTTTCCAATGAGTAGCCTAGGAACAGAGGGGTGACAGGAATGTGTGTTAAACTAAACCAAAATATAGAGGTTTCACGCATGGCTATAAAACGTAGAAGAGGTGTAAACTACAAGCCTGGGCAAGGAGAATTACAAATCCTTAGTCTAGGACCATATGACAGCAGGGTGGTCTCTTGTGGCAATTCACTTTTCTAACATGGTTCCCCAATCAAAGGTAGATTTCCACTAAAAATGATAGGTCCTGAATGTATTGCCCATCCGTACATCAATTGTGTGCTGTCAGAACCTATTCTGTTTTTCCTCCCCGGCCTGGCCAGTATAGAAATGTGACATAAAATGAAAATGTCTTCAAAGCTCAGGAGATTTTTCCAACATGTCAGACGTATAAGTGTGTCTGATACTTAAAACTTCTTATAACTCTCAAGCAGTATTGTATTGTTAGCCCAGCCCAACCCCCTGTAAAGGAAAAAAAAACCTCCATATGTTATGGAGATGAGGAGATGGCGAGATGTTCTGTGTTCCTAACAGACTTCTTGCCTTAAAGCAGCTGTAAACCCTTACATATACCCAGTGAAGTGACTGGCCTTGGGTGATACACAGAGATGAAACAATTCCTCCTACAACAAGTTGTACCTCTTTATCTGCAGTCTTCTCTTCTCTACATCCATTCAAAGAGATAAATTTATATAGCTTATCTGAGAGTTCAGAAAAAAAAAGATCCAGAGAGCTGAAATTACATACTGCAGAACTCCTTGAGGAGAGTTCTGAATGCTGATTGGAGGGAAGAAAAAACACCCTCCTGCACACAGCCCACAGAACTTGCTAGTCAAGTTGCAAAATAATATTTTTTTGTTCTTGGGTTTAGAAACACTTTAACACCTAGCTGGCCCATTTATACCAAGAGATGTTCAGATACCACCCTAATAGTTCACCAACTGTTTGTTCAAATAAACATGTCTGATCTTATTGTCTATAGGAGGACTAAACCCAAATGACATTCCAGTGTCTAAAGGCTGCAAGAAGCCTGGAGGAGGTGGATGTGAGTACTATTTTTGTTATTTATTTGTTATCTGTTTTAGTAGGCTATAGAATGGTTTCCGCTTTGGAAAACCCAAAACTCCAAGGTGACACATATTCATATCATGATCCTTATTGTGTTACCAAAAAGTTCCATCAACTCAAGCTATTGACAGGTTGAATGACACCTTTGGGTGTTGGGTGTTTCTGCATTCCCACTTGCCACAACTATTACGTTTTACTTCTGCAATGATGTTACATTTTGGACCGTGCAGCATATGAAATAAAACCTTGCTTGTCTTCACAGTGGCCACTGTGAAAGATTACAAAAAACATTGATGGGTTAGCCCAACCCCCTTTATCTCGAATTTCAGTGTGAACATAACTGACAATATCTAACAATTGTTTGATTATTATTGAGGAAAACAATTCCCCACAATGGACACACTTGAAGCATGCTTTGTTTCATTTGAGAACTAAATGTATTCCTACATCATTGTTGCAGCTGACCATGGAACCGGCGTTGGAGGGAGGAGGCGGCGGCGGCTCCCAAAACCAAAACCAGGTTTCTGGTGGTGGTACTGGAGGTGGCTTATCTCAAATTTCCCAGTCACAAAATCAAGGATCACAGCAACAAGGTGGAGGCGGCAATTTTGGGTCTGGAGGTGAGTGATAATTCATGGTTTTATCAACAGACACCGCCCTTTAAAAGGCTGCACTTTGATACTTCATCTCTCTCTCTCAAGTGAGATTTTGGAATATCTCAAATGAATTCCTGCCCACACACATAACAATCTGACTATATAATCGCTGTGTAATGTGAAGTATTAAGGTCAACTTAAAGGAATCAAAGTTTTTCCAATCAGGAAGGGCTTCACATTTCACAGTTGTTGGTAAATGTACATTTTGAAAAATCAGAATGTAACTTGTGTGTGTCTAGTTATTTCAATAATTGGAAAGTTAGGTCCTTTTTAGTCAGTATTTTTATTAAGGTTTTGTGTTAAAATTGCTGCGAAAAGTACAGAAAACCATCTGATGATGTGCCAAAAATTCAGTGAGCTCCTTTCTTTGAGCAAACTATGTTGCCTCTACAGCACTGAAATCCCAAGCAGTGTTGTCACCTCTGCCTGGGGTCTTACCTTCTTGACTACAAATCACTTCCATTATATGTAATGGATGTGGAGATGAGGTGTACCGTAGTATAACTGGAGAGAACGTCAGTGCAGCAGAGTTTCTGTGGTGTCAGATCACTACAGGATGTTAGAATATTTATTTCAGGTACTTATATAGTGCCGCCAATTTACACAGCGCTTTACATATATATATATTGTACATTGACATCAGTCCCTAACCCTCAAGGGGTGTACAATCTAAGGTCCCTAACTTACATTCATACATACACATATTAGGGCCAATTTAGACAGGATCCAATTAACCTACCAGCATGTCTTTGGAGTGTTGGAGGAAACTGGAGTACCCGGAGGAAACCCACGCAGGCACAGGGAGAACATGCAAACTCCAGGCAGGTGGTGCCGTTGCTGGGATTCGAACCAACGACCCGAGTATTGCCAGGCGGAAGTGCTAACCATTTAGCCACTGTGCTGCCCAATAGAAGAATAGAAGCTGAATGCTTTTCTGGCAGACCAACAACTATTTGTCTTTACTTTCCGAAGTTGCAAAGAAACAAAAAGGGGAAAAATGTGTATATGGAGGTTTTTTGTTTTGTTTTTTTAAATACAATGAAACAAATGTTCAACAATGACAACAGTATGCTACATTACAAATATATATATATAATTTTTTTTTCATATAGTTATTGTGAAACACATAAATATCATC